TTTTTTAATATTAAGGATTTAAAATAGATTATTAGTGGTAATGTATTATTTACAGTCAGACCTCCATATATTCAATCTGACGATTCCTTCAATAATATCCGATGTATGGAAACTTTGAAAAAAAGAAATAATTATGGAATTTTTGCAAATGCCATTAAAATAATTTTGGAAGAATTGGGTGAAACGAAAAGTTCAAACATTCATTAACAGATGTTTTAATCATTCGTACCACACATTTATGAATAGGCACATGAAATAAAAATAGCATTTTTGGTAACATTAACGGATTTTCGTTTCGACATTTCAAACACTCTTTTTAGCTCGTAACAGCAAACTGAAATTGCGCGGAACTGACGGACTAACTTTGTACGGCAAGGTCCTTAGACGAAGGGCTCACACAATTGATTTTCAGGTCACTTTGGCGAACGCGATCCTACGACTGACAAGATCCCACGATGAGCGCTTGCAGGTGTGAGTTACCTTCATTAAAAGCTGGGAACTGATAGTACTACAATATAAACGTACTAGTGTATAACTATTTATTCAATTATACAAACCTCCAGAAGGATGTTATATTGTTATATTTTGTGCAGTACTATACTACATATTCTATACTCCATATTTACGTACGTACACGGGAAACATATTGTAATCAGAAAATAAGTTGGATATTTAGAAATAATTTTTGATATTCAACGCGTTTTTAAACGAAATTTTCAAGGATATAAAAAATATTCGATTTATTGAGAATTTCTGTACCTAGAAATTCGATATGTGTCCGACTGTACTTAAAAAATAAGTAACGTATGACGTCTTATTACAACACTTTTACTGAACCAGGGTGTTACACCGAATTTGACAACCAATCGAGTACTGCAATTGAACTAGAGGCCAGCAGGAGCAAAACTGCCACTGAACAAACCCATAGAATATGGTTTTCTAAAAGGTACCTTGCACACTTTTCAAGCTTAATGAATAAAATATTCTCGTATAATATTGCAATAAAATACAGATGTTGGCATGCACATTCTTCACGGATTCTAGAATAGTATTTCCGGGCACTCTGTGCAACACTTCTTTGTATAACAAGAAAAAATTGTTATCCCAAAACGCAACACGTAAGTAACAAATATTAAATGTCATGCGGCCTCTTCCTTGAAACCATGTTGTCGCATCACATTAGCAGACGTAAGAAGTGACCATTGAGTATGTCATTCTTCTGTATGCGCAGTATGAGAATAGGAACAACACAATCATATATTTGTATTTTTCAGTGAAATCGAAATTGTTTCAAGAGTTTCTGGAAATGCACCTCTCACATGGCCGGAGGCTACGTAGTGTTTTCAATTTCCGCGCGCGACGCAAATGAGTAATGTAGATGTTTTTGTGTTTTTCCTAAATTCCTGGCTATCTAACGAAATCTCTGATTCTTCTAACAAGGCTCATGTGCTGGATAATTTCTTCTCTTCGCGCACTGAAAATTAGTAAAAATGTTACGAAACAAGTATAAAACAACTTTTATCTACTTTGTCAAAATTACTATGTACTTAACTTAATTTTGCGATCAAATTTGTCTGTTCATTCTGCGAAAATGTGACTGACTGATGTTGATAGTTGATGTAGATGTCCATGAACTATTACAACTTTCATGTTCTTCTCTTACTGCGGAATCATCCTAGTTTCGAAATGCTTGACTCTAATCCAAGTTGAAATACTCTGATATAGCACATACTCTTTCCAAATCTAATCGGAAAGAAAATTTCTAAATGCCGAAATCCTTAATTCTATTGGTTCATTAAACAGATCACAAAACTCTGCTCACCATATAATATGACAATTTACTACATATTTCACGCTTCTTCTTTGCCCTGCTACAGTTTTATGAAAATAAATAGAAACTTTTAGTTTTTTTGCAACAAACAAAATAATTTGAGGCACTAGATGCTTTACATTCCGAATAGTGTTGATTCGTCACGCGCGGTTTGGATGGTTTGATTTATGATCCTATCAAAGAAAACATTCTTTTGGTTGAAAAAAGGAAAGGTAATATATAGGTAATATTTAAGTCTGAATATTACATGAAAGCTTTCGATAGTTATGTGTAATTCTGACTAAGGAAAATTCTTCTTCCAAAATGTAAGATAGTGATAGAATAGGCAGGTCAGAATTTACTTCTTCTGAGTCTCAATAGGATCCGAACTTTTGACACCAATTACCAGCAAACTTTACGAACAAAGATCTATTGTAAAATATAGCGTTATTATTTTAAATATTGTTTGTAGGAAATATGATTTGAATAAAAGCTTAGTAAACTTTGTTTGAAATAAACGTTTAGTGGATGTTACGAGGTGACAGGGCAGGAAATGAATCAAACCGAAGCAAATGCAAGGTACAATATATTCATTGGATCTCGTACATTGTTAAATGGATTGTTGAATCTAAATTCCATACTTCCGCACTCTATTTTGATCAAAAGCATGCATGAAACATCAAAGAGGATGGTTATACATCTATGTTTATATAATGTTATAAATATTTATATTCCAAACCAATGTAGGCAAACGTTTATAGAAGTATATTGCTTATTAATTCCCTAGCGTCATGTAAATACATTATACGAACACGTTTGGGTTTTATTAAGAGATCACCCACAGTGCACAAAATTGAAGTCAGTGGCTTATGTTAGAGTGAAATAATCTCAAGTAATCATCAATATTAATTTTATTTTAATATACTTGTAAATAATGATATTTTTATTTTTTAAATAAATAAAGATAATCATTATTTAAAATTAAAAAAGGTGAGTTTCATGACACGTGCATAAGAATTTATATTTTCCCTCTTTATCGTTAATTTTATATTTTTAAGGAGCCGCAACTAATTGATTAGGAAATGGGTGCCCCGAACCCGTTCACCGTTCGGCGGAAGGCCGCAGGGCAGAGGGGCGGGCGTCTGAACGATGGTGCAGCGGCGGGGGCGGCGGCGGGGTGAAACAACGCGTCGATGTGGCGTCTATCGAAAATCCATCACTGGCGCTGGCACAGAATTCAAGTTATGCGACCGCGTAACGGAGTCGGTGAGAGGGAACCGACTCCCGGGCGGGAGGGCGAGGGCGAGGGCGAGGGCGAGGGCGAGGGCGAGGGCGAGGGCGAGGGCGAGGGCGAGGGCGAGGCAGGCCCCACTCGGCGTTGAGCCAGCGGCAGGGGAGGACACTAAGTGCGGAAAGGAAAATGATAAACTTCATCATCATCATCATTATTATTATTTACAATTTTAAGTGGCCGGTATGTCAACCACTCACAGGAACAATGTCCAGGTGTGCGGTTGCTTTATTGAAGATTCAGGCGGCTTCTAAAAATTATTATCGGGTGCATCTCTTGATTAAGACAAGTTTATTAGCGTAGAATATTCATTAGGGGGAGGATAGGATGAAGTTGTTACTATCATTCCTATTATTACAATTCGTATTATTATTATTATTATTATTATTATTATTATTATTATTATTATTATTATTATTATTATTATTATGTAGTGATGATGAACTGCAACGATGAACCATGAAAACCCCTGCGAACAGTGTGCCTGGTTCGATGATCGAGCATGGAACTCGCGATTGCAAATCCAGCGCGTTTCGCACTGATCCAATTTGCTCAGTACTAGTAGTAATATTAATGATAATGATAATAATATTAATTATAATAATAATGCTAACGTTAATGATAATAATAATGCTAATGATAATAATGATACAATACAATAAATTGATTGATTAGTGATTCCACGCTCATTCAAAGGTCATGTCTCATAAGTGTAGTGCTTGTTTATTCTTAAGCAAAATGCGGGGACCTTCCCTCGTTGGAAGGTGAGATCCTGCGCCTACATTCCCGTTGGGTAGCCGTGTTTTCCACCACCAGGTATCTTCCCCCAACCACCCCAGCCTTGACGAACTCTCTTTTCCCGGCCGATCTCTCAGTACGTGTGGTAGTTGGCCAGTGCATATTGGATTAATGTTAAATTACCAACCATTCCTGTCTTAATCATCAAGTACTAATAATTCGATGTCATTTTCACCTGCAGAATTACTCTACTTATGTTATATCTAACCCGAAGTGGAAAACAATACCAACCAATTGACTGTTATATTCAACAAAATGTTAAGAATTTTCGAAACTGGTGGTAACGTGGACATATGGTTGTGTTGTAGAAATAATCAAAACGGAAAATAGGATATTCTAATATTAAGGTAGGTACTGTGGCGTCGTGGTAGCGAAATGAAGACACATGCACGAGCTCTATTTACAAATCTGTTTATTGACAAGATTTTCCAACACGTATAGCTCTGGGGTTACGCGTACCTCGCTTTTCTTCCTCTTCTTTGTCGTATTTCACCCCTTACATTCTCTACACTACCACATAATGTCGGGAGACAAATCGGGAGCTTAGAGATTGTCCCGGCAGGAGCGCTGCCCCGCTTGTGGGAAATATCCGGCTGAGAAAATTCCGCTAACCTATTTGTAGGTCGACAACGAAACTCGTCATCCGGCGTGGAAAGATCAACTCCTTCTCCCGAGTAAAAACAACTTGAGGGAATAATGACCATAGCAGTTAACGCGCCATGAAACTCGGAATAAACACTCAATAAATTCTCACAAACACTGCGCGAAGCTGGCTATCGTCTCAAGCCCCGTCCCGTTCGCGTGTCAGCGCGGCGAGGAAATAAGTGGGTTTCGCCCGCAAACACCTTTTCCGATCCCGCGGGATCGAAGCTTCGGGGGCGGGGCGATGCCGGCGGCGGCGGGCGGCGGGCGGCGGGCGGCGGCGGCGGGCGGCGGGCGGCGGGCGGCGCAAGGTGGCGCGCGGAAAAACAAGATCTCGCGCCACCTGCGCGCGCCCGCCGCTCGCCCGGCCGCTGTTTATTTACGTTCCATTTCCAACCGGGCGGACTGCTTGCGAACGGGCGAATATCAACATTTACATATTCTTTTCAAGCCGTACAGGGTGATTCAGAACTGCCTTCCTGCAGCGGCGCGTCCCCGAACCTTGCGGCCGACGACGCGCTCCCTTCTTTCCCGACCGACGGACGCCCCCCGCTGGACACCGAAACGCGGCGCCGACCCTTGCACCCCAGCCCAAGCTCACGGGTGACCGAACCGTGACGACATGCGGCACCTAGGGCAGTCACTTGCTGCGCCTAGCGGCGTTCGATTCCTATAGAAGAATCGATTCTGAAATCGATCCTAGAATCGGAAAGTTGGAGTCGATTCTAGATTAGAATCGAAAGAAAGAATCGATTTCCTAAGGAATGAGATCACAGTTCAAAAAGAGGTACCAATACCGGAATTGAGCTATTATTATTTAATAAAACAACTAGGTGTTAATGAATTAAATTTATATAACAATGATAATTCACTACGTAACTACTATTAAGAGTATTGCTGAAATAACACACTTGATATAAAGTAATAGAATTTATCAATGGGACAATATACTAGTAGAACATAAATGGAAAATATAATATATTGTAACATTAACAATAGTATGAACTAATAGCGGCGGCGATGGTGTAACGGTTAGCGTACTGGACTGTTGTACCCAAGTTGGCGGGTTCAAACCCGATCGAAGCCGTGGATTTTTAAGGGCGAGAAAATCCTTCATACGCCTTCCTTCGGAGGGGAAGTAAAGCCGGCTGTCCCATGTTCGTAGATTTACTTGCATGTAAAAGATCCTCAAGCCTAAATGACGCCTCTGAGCTAAATTCAAATCGCCTGTTTCTCGCCCAAGAAATACCTCCTTTCTCTCCTAGTTGGTGAAAGGAGCGTAGCGAAATTTGCGTGGTCAGACGGAAGAGCGGGCCTGATGGCCCGAGTCTCGCCACGTAAAATAAGGCAAATTCAAATCAAACTAATCAACGTAATTGTAACTGAATCAAAGAAACAACTTCTCACAACGTGATCCAGACATGATTGTTTTTTAAAATTGAGATCCTAAATGTAATTTGAACAAAGAGGTTTTGTGTGAACGAAATGCTAGGTGGAGGCCTGGTGTGAGGTAGAATTCAAACACGAAATTAATTTCTACAAAATTAATAATAAAGGCAAGCGACAAAAAAACCGAACCAATATAAACGCACAATAATATGTATTTTCTTTAAAAAAAGCCTAAGGTTTTCATTTGATTTGATTCCGGCCTTTTTGAATCTATTCTATCAAGAATTGGAAGCAAAGGAATCGAATACTGATTCCACAGGAATCGAAAAAAAAGAATAGATTCCGAAACCCAATCGGTAGAATCGGAAGGTTCCTAGCTACGCCGTTGAATAGCGAGCTTCCGTGTGAATAACCCTGGTCCCCACTCGATGACTAAGCGTTTAGGACTGAAGTACTGGAACTGTCACGTGGTTGTCTGTACACGCTTCCGCACGGTGCGTTACTCATTCAAGTGAATAGGCCGAGTAGCCTCTCGACGGTGTCCAGACGCTTTTGACCGACCTAACGCCACCCTGACGCGTGGAGCCTGGGATCCCGCCGCTGAGCCGTGCTGCCAACTGCAGCTCACTCTACCAACGTCTGAGCATCTTGTCTGCGGTCTTTCAACATGTACTCAACCTATATAAGTATGTAAGTGATTATTAATGAATTGACAACTAACTAGGTGTCGCTCTTGATAATGGTATGCCCTCCCACGACTTCCTTATCTTGACAGCGTCAAGATATCGCCCCCTCTGAGACCTAATGCGATAGCTCAGCGGCACCACCGTTGCCTCCGCAGCATCTTTGATCTGAAGAGTCTGACGATGGCGAGTTTTCAACATTTTCCTTTGTCGAGTGCAGATTTTATCTGGAAGGGAAGTCTCTCAGTCGGCACTAGATACACAATGCTTACGCCCGACAGGAATGCATAGGATTTTTCAGTTTGCGTAATAGCTTTTTGCGGGCCACGGTAAACGACATCGCGGGCGGCATGCGGCCCGCGGCCCCGCACTTGGACAACCCTGATCTCGCGCACGGCTGCTCAAGCAGACGAATCGAGATTGCGAGGCCGCCTTATCCCACGAGGGATCGACACCGGAGCTCGAGCGTTGCGCGGTTTGCAATTACCTCGGTCACAGCTAGTCTCAATGCCCTTGCGACGTATGCTCTTTCCGTGGATATTTTCAACTAAGAAACATTAATTTATAGTATGACACTGATTTGAGGGTCAGATTTCAAACAAAACACTTTATATTCGAACTTCCTTCACAAACTTTTTCCGAAATTGCTTAAGCTAGCTGCTGGATTGTTAAGCACGCCTATATTTGGAACAATGTACAACTGTGACAAGTTTTCTTCTTCTTCAAACGTTTTTCAATATCGCAGGAGAAGTACAATAATAGATCATAATTTGAAAAACATTTTACAGCTCAATTGCTCCGGATCATGTGTTGCAAACATTAAAACGAAACAAAGCAATTACGAAATATGAGAAAAAATTTCCTTCGCAAAAGTGCAATCTTTTTCATTGTATTTTCCATTACAATCCATATTTCCATAGTCAGTTTATTTAGTAATAGTTTATCCAAATGTACATGTTGTATTATCATTAAACAATAAAATTAACTAAATGTTTGCTGTATGATGCCACTGTTAAACAACGTGTATCCAAAACATAGGGATAACTGTCGTACCTAGAGACAGATGAATATAGGGACAAAGTTTGCTTTCGAGAAGTCTTTGAGACACATTTTGGATTGTTTTTTTCCTTCATTGCTATGCTATTTGTGATTATTCAAGTGAACCATTTTGTAGATGTTTATGATTTTATCAAAGTTTAATAGATTTGGCGACTGAAAAGTAAACATTTCTGTATTTTTCTTTCAGAAATGTAATAACTGCTATAATTTTAGAAAATTGAATATTACTAGACTACATCTTATTTGCAATTGCCTCCTCAATGTATTGTTCTGCGGTGCTAGTTGAACGCCAACATCCGTGACGCTTGAGAGAAGTTTTGTCTTCTCCGTGATTAACCAGCATTCTGGCAGACGTTTTTCTAAAGGAGTGCCCCGAGTACTTATCCGCATTGAGTATTAAATTTTGCAGTGTATTTGAGGATTCTGCTAAAAATATTTATTCGTACAGGATTACAGATGTATTTTCCGTTCGCGTAAAATAAAAAAAAGTTTAATGTGTTTAACATGTCTGGATCGTAAGGCAACGTACTTTTTGTACAGTCCTACGTAATTGATGCAACCTCCATCAGAAACAATACTGAAAACTCTGGGATGGTATGTTTTCCTGTATTATATTTTAACTATCAAAACTGATCCTTCTTCTTTGACATCCTCAGTGAACATATTGTAACTTTAGGTCTGCAAGCCCAAACAGGCCAAATATAGTGAATGCCTGACAATCGTTAAATAGTTGCGTAAATTATAATCGTACATTTTAACCAATAACAAGGAATTTCTGGTAAAATTACTCTTCATACCTTCATTGAAAGCTATGTCTCATCTCATGCTTCCGTCAGAAATTTGTTCAGTTGATCTTTGAAAAAGGTCATTGATTTTTCAGGATGATATCCCACATATGCTCGTTTCATAAATGACGATTATTTTCTTAATATTCAACATAGAGTTTAGTTTAGAGTGCATACACCATGAAGCGAACGTTTTGTATGTGGCAGACTATTTGAAAATAAAACAAATGTTATTTTCAAAAAATATGCGTTTCATTGTAATTAGTAAGTAAAATATTCCTATACGAAATGAAAAAATGCCATTTCAGAGAAATTAGCCAAAAGTGCCGTTCCCAAATCACATTCGTATTTTTCTCTTCCATAAAATTTCAAATTTATCATATTATTTTTCATTATTTTCACCTGATTTTTAGGTATTAGCGACAATTCTGCTTTAGCAACTTCCTTCGTTATTGCCTCTGGTAATTCATCTGGTGAATCCATTTCACAACAAACAATAAATACCCCGGCCAAAAAATATTGTAGTCGGCATTGGGCTAGGTAACATACCATTCTACTTCCAGGTTCAGTAACTATTTTACCCTTGTTATAATTTTATAATGCTGTTATACAAAAAAATTGTATGCAATTTGTTTATAATGCAATTTTTTTGCACTCCTAAGAAAAGCCGCATTCACTCCTTCGTTCATGCGGCTATTCTTATTCGTGCAAAAAAGAACAACATTATAAACTAATGTCATATTATACTATTTTTCCTTTACACATTTGTTATTATAATATCTGTTAAAGATTCTCTCCGTGAAAAAGGAACGTAGTTGTAGTTTTTCCACTATCCCTAGACTGCCCCAGTAACATCATTATGTGTTCCCAGGTACATAGCGCGATGTGTCTACGGACACATTGTACACGAACAAATTGTCTCAAAAAGAACCTTGTAAAATGTTCTTCAAAATATTATTATTATTACACATAATATGCTGAGATGTGTAGCATTCCCAAAAAGATGTACATAAACAATTTCACATCTAAAACAAGAGTTAAAAAATTAAAACATGTAAAGTGCCCCTAGTTTCGTCAATTTTCCCTACTTCTTGAGACGCAAAGTTTTTAAAATCTGTCATATGTTTTCTTCAGAATACTGGAAATATTCAACCGCATGATTAGCAGTATAATGTCGCCGCAACTTTTATTTTTTCACATGATTGAGCATTTTTTACGAACTAAAAAATTGGAATAGCTGCCGCAGTCTGCAAAAACAATACTTTTCTTCCCACGCTGAATTGAAAACTGTCGCTGCATTGAGAAAAAAGTTTTCGTGTTAAAATTGTGAATGTATGATTGCAATGAGTAAATGTTTAAATAAACGTTACAAAAATATTGGGCTGTTTCACTGTCGTAATATCCATTTCCAGAACAGTGGGATACTTTCAGTCCGGCTGCTGGAAAAGGCTCCAATTTTTTCGATTGTGGTTTACCCCCCGATAGCTTTAAGAACTCTAAATGGCGAGGATCTTATTTTCATTGAAATTCCTTATTTTTCGAAAATTGCAAAAGTTCAAAACTTTTCGGTGTGTTTCCGCAACTACAAAATTTAAAGTAGAGATGCTTTTGTTAAGTAAATCAGCTGATCAATAATATATTTTAAAATAAAGTCATTATAGGGTTTTTCGAAAAGGTGAGTAGTCTTATAGTATTTTTGCGTTAAATAAGACCTTTTTAAACTATATTAAAAAAAGAGCTATAATTTTTTTCTTTATGCTTTTTCTACAGATATAATAAAGGAAAATTAAAATGCAGTTTTCATTTCCGTTGCACTCTCTGAATCTTCCAAAATCGCAGTATTAATAGTACTGCGAGAAATTATGTGCTGTTGTAGCCCCACTACTTTTGTTTGATTTTGGCAGTCAACGTGATGAATTATATAATGTGATGCTTTAATATTTAAAAAGTTTCAAAGCTTATGGCATCATTGACCATAACATTTTGCTCTCAAAATTATCTTCTTGAGGAATTCCTGCTATTGACCGAGATTGTATATCGTGGTATCTCAAAGATTAGAAATACCGTACCGGCGGGAAAAACATAATTTATTCATCTTATCAAGTCTTTCCAATTGAGTTTGCGAACCCGTTGAGTTCGATATTAGTCTGTTTCATCTCTCTTTTATATTTAAACGATATGCCATCGGCCATTAGAAAGGGAAGAACATTTCTATTTTCTGATGACACGAATGATTACTGCAAAAGAGAAACAAAAATAGTTTATTTCAGAAGTTTTAATTTCATATTACGAATTAATTAACGATGGAAAATGACTCAATTTATTTTTCCTTTTCAAATAATCAGTTCTATACTTCATTGAAAACGAACGATTGCTTGATATCAAGGTAATACAACTTTTGGGTCAGTGGAATTAGTCAAACATCAAATGTAATAATTTAAATGAACTGTTCACAACATTAAAATCATTATGCTACGCGTTTAGAATTTTTTCAATGTCAGTTAGCATTCATACTTCTTGTTGTAAATATTTCACGAATGTTCATTCGATAATATTCTGAGATAAGACATGATATTCTAGGAAAACACATGGCATAGCACACATACGTTTACGTTACAGAAATTGCACAAATAATTAGCAAATCCCACCCATGTGATTCTGGTAAACCTCTTTAAGCGAATTCAATCCACGTTTTTTCTGAAAGCCTCTATTCATTGAGCATGTAATCTCACCGTTACATTGCCTAGTTGTTTATGGATATGTCATTTTTGTAAAAACTGACTTACAGGAGGGAACACGCGCATTTTGTTGCTAGTTGTATCAGGAGTATAGCAAGAATTTTGTGTTGTTATTTTGTAAGCAGTAATACGTAATCAAATCCATAGTTTGTTTACCGATGCTAATAAAATTTGTATAAATCGATAGCAAAAATGCTTAATTTTCAAATGTGGCTAACCTTGCTTTGTTGAAACTATTATTCATTATTTATGGTTAAAGGAGGGGAAGAGATTTTGTGAGATCAAGGAAACGTGCGCAGATGGTACGTCATATTCATACTTCACACACAGTTTTTACTGTTAAAAATAAATCATACCAAATAATTTGAAATGAAATGTGTTCTCATAATACTAAGAAATCAGTAGTATAGTTAACCTTACTAACC